AAATGTAATGAAAAATGAGCTCTAAGTCAAGCTAATTTTGTGCCCAGTCTTTTTTTTTAACAGGGGTATCTACCCACTGCCACTCTGAAAAGAGCGTTTGACAGCGTATTAATCCCTCAGCGGAACCTAACGAGACCACCAGTGACGGAGCCAAAAATTTTTATCTACGAGGCAAAAATTTATGATTTTTAAAATAACCTCAAACTTTTAATTCGAGCTTGAAATTGACATTGGGGTTTTAATTCTTTTTATAATTATTATAAGAAGATAAATTTAATACAACAACAACTACATATGCCTTTGTCCCACTACGTGGGGTCGGCTACATGACTCCTTTCTCGCCATTGTGAAGAAGATAAATTTAATAATAATTAAAAAAAATATTGTCATGTTCAACTAAATTAAATTCAGCACAAATTTATTTTGACTGTATATTGCTATGCCCACCTATTTCAACTCCAGGAGGAAGTTGAACACGATAAGCATTATCGTTATATTTGGCAATTATGGGAACCGGTCCAAGTTTGCGACGAGCCAATTTCGAATATTCGCCGGGGGCAAATCGTTCGCGGCGGAGGCGAACTAAGACTAAATCGCCCACTTCAAATAGCTTCTGCCGGCGATGAATGTCTGCTGTCCTCTTATAGCGCTGATTTGCACTTACAATTTGCTGTTTAACATCTGAAAGCATCTTGGAGTAGTCATTCGTAAAGGAAGCAGCCGTCGTGGATTGGCATTTGGGCAATACAATGAGATCTACTGCGGTATTAGGCGCTTTAGTATAAACAATGGCGAAGGGAGCTTTACCAGTTGAGCGGTTAGGCATTGCATTGTATGCAAATTCAGCCTTACTAAGAACCTCTTCCCATTGTTTGGGATGGTCTTGAACTAAGCAACGTAGCATATTGCCCAAAGTTCGATTAACAACTTCTGTTTGGCCGTCCGATTGTGGATGATAAGCTGAACTAAATCGGAGTTCCGTGCCCAAACGCTTCCATAGTTCACGCCAAAAATGGCTTAAGAATTTGACGTCGCGATCCGAGGTGATGCTTCTCGGTAAGCCATGTACGTAAGCGAACAATCTCTGTAAAAAAGAGGTTAGCAATATGTAATGCATTGGAGGTCTTCTTACAGGAAATGAAATGGCCCATCTTTGAGAATCTGTCGACGACCACCATGATAGAGTCGTTGCCTTTTCTTGTCCTTGGCAGCCCCAATACGAAGTCCATGCTCAAGTCTTCCCAAATTGAGTCCGGTACTGGTAAGGGCATGTATAGTCCGGTGTTCTGAGCTCCCCCTTTGTAGATTTGGCAAACCGGGCAGCTATCCACAATTCGAAATGTGTCGCGCCGCAGCCTTGGCCAAAAAAATTTCGCTTGTAGTTGTTGCAACGTCTTGTCTTTGCCCAGGTGGGCTGCTAAACCGCCTCCATGCACTTCCCTTATCAGGTGCTGTCTCCAGGAGGATTGGGGAATGCACAAGAGATTTTGTTTAAAAAGAAAGCCATGCATGATAGAGTAATCTTCAAACTGAGTTGTATCAAGGCAATGTGTCCAGATTTTACTGAAATCATCGTCACCCGCATACAAGTCTTTCAAATGTTCTAATCCCATGAGATCAGTCTGCAGTTTATTGAGGAGAATGGCTTTTCTACTGAGCGCGTCCGCTGCTTTGTTCTCTATCCCCGGTTTGTGCTTAATTGTAAAAGAGAAACGCTGTAGAAACAGGAGCCAACGAACATGCATTCTGTTTACATTTTTCTGAGTATTGATATGCTGTAATGCCTTATTGTCACTACATAAGACAAACTCTTGGTGTAGTAAATAGGACTCCCACTGTTTCAATGCACGAACGATTGCATAAAGCTCCTGTTCGTATGCGGCCCATTTTTGGCGAGCAGGACATAATTTCTCGCTGAAGAAGGCTACCGGTCTGCACGTCTGTGATAGCACCGCGCCAACGCCAATTGCCGAAGCGTCTGTGTCTACTGTGAATAGCTTATCAAAGCTGGATAGTATAAGAACAGGCGCGGTAGTAAGAGCATCCTTAACGAGCTGGAAGCTCTCTTGCTGTTCTGCTCCCCAATAAAAGGACTTAGACTTCAAACAGTCAGTAATAGGGGCCATTAGAATGCTAAAATTTCTTATAAAACGCCTGTAGAAATTAGCTAACCCATGAAAGCTGCGAATGTCAAAGAAAGAGGAGGGTGTTGGCCAGCTTTGTATTGCCGAGATCTTCCTAGGATCAACATGTATACCTTCGGCGGAAACAATAAATCCCAAAAACCGAACTGTGGCTGTGGCAATTTCGCATTTAGGGAGATTTAGAAATAACCGGTTAGCTTTTAATACCTCAAACAGCGACTGCAAATGTTGAAGATGCTGGGACCGGTTGATGCTGAACACCAGAATGTCGTCGAAGTACACGATGCAGAACTTGCCAAGGAACGGCTTCAAGACTTCATTCATCATACGCATGAATGTTGAAGGTGCGAACTTCTTCCCTCACCGGTTCCTTGCCGCGGTCTGTCATTATCTTCCAGTTTTTGGGCTCTGATATATACCAACTGGTGTCATTGTACAGGATCGGTGGTACCTAGAAGAAATACATAGTAAATACAAGAGCACACTCCCGCCGCGTGCCGCGTGCCGCTCGCGCTGCCGCCGTCGCGGTTCCGGGTGTCGGGTCAACCCGGCAACCCGCCGGGTCGGGTCCGGGTTCGGATTTTCGACCCGTTTCTCTACCCGGGTCGGGTTAGGGTTGACCCGTTTTCCACCCGGGTCAGTTCGGGTTCGACCCGAACCCGACCCGTGACCCGAAATTGACACCCCTAATGTACGGTAGTAAAAAAAATGTTTAAGATAGAGAGAGAGAGAGAGAGGAGAGAGACAGGGTGTGACCAAAAGGCAAGAACAGCAGCCAAACAGGGCGTCAATGGGAAAAAAATCGCAGCTGTGGGCGTGATGGGGGAAAATTTAGAGAAATAAGTAAAGAAAGATTTTTTTTTCTTTTTTTGAGGGGGGTAAGTGCCCCCATAGGCTCCCTCCTAAATCTGTCGTTGGAGATCATTTAATGGCATCGGGTCCACACTTGTTTTGTCCCTCTAAGGGCATCTCCAACCGAGAACGCGATTTTTCACGGCAAAATACAGCAAAACTCCAAAATGCCGTGATTTAGCTCCAATCGAACTCCATTTTAGTTGCTTCTGCGAATGTAACGATCCTTCTCCCCTTTCGCGCATTTTTTCGTCAAATTCAGTTGAGAGAGCAAAATAGCGTGGGTGAATAGTGCAACACCAATATTGACGTCGCACTGTTCACCTGCAAGTAAATGACGAAAGATTTGGCGTTCGGCTGGAGCGATGAAGAATGTCATACGCACGTTTGGCGTTCGGTTAAAGATTCTCTAAAGAGACGAGATAATAGTAGAGGAGATTCGAATCCGAGATGTGAATTTCCAACCGTGCACCCTAAGCCTCCGTGGGTTGCTAGCTACTTCACTACTAACCCTCATAATATTTATAAAAACATAAAATATTGAACATATAAGTGCAAAACAAGCAGTCGACACATGAATGAGCAATATAACGCTTTTAATACCAGTAAAAAAAGACAAAAAATGTAGGGCATCCTACTGAAACCTGCATGGCAAATTTAATGCAAACCTATATTAAATGATAACTTGATTACTGGAGGACATGTGACATACTGTTATCTGATGATCATCTCCTATCTCCTGACAGGAACTGTGTCGGGAGCTCTCACTTGGACAATCAATGCTCGTCACTCCAGCTAGTCCAGATGAATGCGTAGATGAGGAAGCTGTGCTTAAACCAGTAAAAATGAATGTGCGGACGACGATGATGCAGTTAAAGAATTATGTAACAAAAGATTTACTCGAGGCTTTCTATGCGAACTGCGCAGTTTTATTTTTTTTATTGGAAAATTTTGTCTTTGATTGTTTAAGGACAAAAAGATGTCCTACAAGATTTACTCGATCGGTAAATTTCAGAATTTACCGGGAGAGAGACAGAGATTAACGGAAACTCGCATGCAGTACTGCACAGCTTCTGACTCATTGCACAGTTTGCTGCATAGCTAAATTCAAAAAAAAATTATAGGAATCCAAATAGCTGATGGGCTTAAAGCATCGATACAAATAATAATGCATTCAAGTAGAAGCAGTGAGTTTCTAAATTAGGAGTGTTGATGAGTTAAGTCGACTTGTAAGTCAATTTGAGCTCAATTTGATAAATAATTTATGAGCTTAGAGTTTAAACCCAACGACCGAAGTGTGAAATGGTCCTGATCAGCTTGTTAACTTGGAAATTGACTTGTTCAAAATATATTAATATAAAATAAGTTTAAAATATATTGGCATTCAAGATTTTAAGAAAAGTATTGTTAAAAATGTTTAAAACTTCTCGGTGATCACTTTCTTATATTAAGTGATTCTTTCTTATTTTTATTTTAATTTCTCATTTTTTTATTATTTTATTATAGTAATTACTTGAATAAGAATCATTTTCTTTCTTTTATAATAAATGAGTGGGCTCATGAGCTTAATTGAATTTATAGAATAATTTATGAGCTTAGAATTTAAAAGGCTGGAGGTCGAACTCGATTAATTAATAATCAAACTCAAGTTCAAGTCATAGATGAATCTAGCTCTACTTGACACGTTTAGACTACTAATCTGAATAATTGTAAGTAGTTTATAGCATTAGATTCAAACACAAAAATTAATTTTGAAAAATGCTAAAAAACTTTTGTTCCAAACTCATAAATTTTACTAAGTCTAGCTAATAAATTATCATCAAAATTTTACGTGGTGTAATTTTTGCCCAATTAAATATATATTTCTGTTTACTACGTAAATATTTATCGATATAGATTGAAATATCTAAGGATAAATATCTGAAACTAAATAGTAAATGAACAATGAAAGTGAAAAATGTTGCGTTCATCATTGAGTACAATTTTTCCATTAATTACATGGTAGCCTAATGGTGAAGTCCAGGCAAGTGAAATCCATATACTTCAACGTGCTGCTAGCTAGCTGCGCCGTTAAGGTATTGGAACACCAGGCATCAGCTGATGAAAGTCCTCGCCATCGCCACCGCCACCGCCGCCGCCGCTGCCGCCTGCTTCGCCAGTCTTCCTCGAACGATTCCGTCCACGATGCATGTGGCGCTCACAGTACTTCTGGTTGGGAACCACGTCACGCGAACACCGCCATTTCTTTCCATCCGTCCTTCTACACCTCCCCGGCTCCGGCTCCAGACTGTTCCTGTAGTCCAAACACAGATCTCCGCATCCCAAAACTGCACAAGCCCGCACATTTAGAAAAAAATGAAGAAAATTAATTGAAGGACAAAGCACAAGGAGGGTAGTGACGGCCACCGCAGTTGGCAGCGGCGACGCTTTTCCATATGGGGAGGACAAGGTGCAGCGGGACGGGGAGGCCACCCGCCATGTACTTGTAGATGAGGGCTTGATGCTCCAGCTCTTGCATTTGCATGAATGTAAAAATCGGTTTTTTGGGGGGGCTGGAAACGGAACTCCCATTGAGACCTAGTTGAAGGCCGAGGGTTAGAGGGGAGGGAGACGCCATGGCCGCGGCTTCTGCAGAAGGAAAACGTATAAGAGTATCTGTGATGAGTGCTACTGGTATTGGCGGTAGGGGAGTGGAAGAGAGGAAAGATGGTACCTTGTGACGTCGGATATGAAGAGAGACGGGGGATCTTGGAAGGAGGAAGAAAAGGGGGAGTGTTGCTGTGGAAAGATGTGTGTTCTTTGGTTGCCATTGTGGTTCTAATGGCACGAGAGCTGATGACATATGAGTTTTGTGCCCCTCGGCTTGGTCATTTGAGATGCAGGGCGGAAGCTGCTGCGTTCAGATCGAGCGAATGATAACAGAAGCGCTTCAAAGTTTTATTGGGCCTGTGCTCTATGAGAAGAGTTTTAGTGCTTAACACTAATTAATCTAAATCAATATGTGGCCATTCTTTCATTTATTATTGAATCAAAAGCTTAAAGAAAATATATAACAGCTCAAATTTTAAATCATTGATATATCATCTACTTTAAACTAATTACCATAAGATTTAACTCGTCGATGTAACTTTCAAAGAGTTCATTCATCCTATTAAAAAATTATAACTAACAAAATAAAAATAAAAATAAAAATAAAATTTCAATAATTCGGGTTAAGGATCACACTGGAAGAGGGTGATGATTGTGCAAAATTTTGGAATTAATTTAATTTTGTTAATTTTAATGATCTTAAAATTAAGTGCTCATATGATCGTTAGATTTCTCGCATTTATTTGAATGTTTTAATTATAAGTATACAAAATTTAGAAGATATTTGATCTATGATAAATTTTAATTATATTTATGAGTGCTTAATTTGGAGAACCATATTGTTTTGATTATAAATTTATTGAAAAATAACTAATATTATCTTATAATGTATTTTCAAAATAAAATTAGGATATCAAATATTTAAATGATTTTAGATCTAAAATTCACGACATAAACATTAATAAAAAAATTAACTATTTCATATTTATCAATTCTCTCCATGCATATTTTTTATGTGAAATTATAAAAATAAATAGGTTTTTTTTTAATAATTCGGTTAGAAATTGATAGTTGTGCAAGATAATGACTATTATTTGTTCAACTTCTGAAAAATTGAAGATACTATAAATTTAGAATGAGAATAGTATTTAAAAAATAAATAAATACATCACATCTAAATACTCATAAAAAATAAATTAATAGTTTTATATTTGAAGGATACTACGAGTAAGGGTTTAGATTTTAGTTCAAAATTTGAAGATTGTTCGAAAATTAAATCAATTTTAAATTTTTAGCTTAGATTAAGCTCAAATCGAGTCATGAGCCAAATTTTCAGATCAATTTAGTTTCGAGCCGAGCTCAAATTGAATCGAACCGGCTCTATATCGATTGAGATATAAATAATACATATATACTATATATAAATTGATATTTAGTATTTTTTTTTAATAAAAAAGATAAAAATAAAAATTTTCATGTCAGCTCTACTTAAATTTGATTTGGTATAAAATTGAGCAGATTTAAGTTGAACTCGTTTGAATTGTAAATTAACTTCACGCGAACTTGCATATATTAAAACGGATTCCAAATTTATGTTGAATCAACTTGAAATTGGATCGTTAATGTCATCTTATTTTGTCGGGATTTTTGGTTCACAATGATAGATAATTCTCAACAACCAGATCTCTTCCTCTTAGACTAACATTTTGACAACCACAGGATTAGGGATGTCAATTATTGACACGATCTGACAACTTGACATGAAAAATTTGTGTTAGGGGGTGAGCCGTTTAACAAACGGGTTGGGTTTTAATTTTTGACCTATTTAAAAAACGGACTGTTCTGGGTCAACCTGGTAACCCGGGATTGATCCGGCTGCCAAGTGCCAAGAGGTCTCACAACCCTCGCGTAGTCACATATATGGTACTTCGTAGTCTCGCCCTAGCCCAGTACCCTCGCGTCGAACCACGGAGTCTCATCGGTCACTGTAGCCCTGCGTCGTGTAGTCGCAGCCGTAGTCTCGCCTTAGCCCTCACTGCCTTGCGTCGTCGCATTCGGGCCGCCCAATCAGGCCAGTCTTTGGTCTCACCCTAGCTCTCGCGTCGAATCGCAGAGCTGCACCGCGCTTGCACAAGCACACAGCTCTTGCCCTCGCTCAAACTATACCCAAATCACGATCTCTAGATCTCATTCTAGATCTCGTGGGTCGTGTCGAGCCAACCTGGTAACCCACATGGTTGGGTCCAGGTTGACAAAGTTGACCTGTTTCTAAAATCGGGTTGTGTTATTATGAACCCATTTACGATCGGGCCAAATTGGGTTCAACGCAAACACCCGAATTGACACCCCTACAAGGGAATCCTTCATTTCAACCCCATATTTATCCTAATGAAAAAATGGCTCCCTCACACCCTATTGAGTGTCATAAGCTGTGAAATTCCACATTGGTAGCCTTTTTTTTTAGAATATTTAGGCCAAATAAGATAATATATACATAAATTTTGAATCCAAAATTTTTAATTGATAATTTAAATTCTCAACTAACATTTTAAAATGATGAGCTGCTTTTGTTAGCCTTTCACCCCTTTTTTTTTTTGAAATATTTAGGCCAATTAACATACAAGATTAGCTGTGTGCCTTTCCCATTTAGTTAACATATGTTCGTCCATTATTAGGTGCGGATACCGGACAGTATAGGCATAGAAGTTCTCTCTATTCCGCACCTAATAATTTCTCTCGCTGCGGACAGCCGAGAAGCCATATGGATGGCGTGCGTACGGCCTACAAGGTAAAGTCTTCTGACACCGCCAGCTTTTCTATGGTTTTTGTCTTTTTAGGGCCCCCACTATTGGAGAGTTAGGAGGAGTAGGAGCGGATTGCACCCAAAGCAATGAATACAGTTCGAAATAATTTTGTTCAAGTTCAGTTTTCTTAATAAATTTCCCAAAATTTATTTTTTTTTCTTAATAAATCCAATACGAATTTGACAGACTAGCCCTCGTTTGACTGATTTTGTCGTTGTGTTCGGTCAATAATTTATGCTTGGCTCGATCACTATTGATTTAAATTTTTCGAACTAATAAAAAATGTGAAAATCGGATCCGAGGTAACTGGACTCTACTAGTTAACAAACTCACAAGTTGAGTTTATTAAGCCACGAGCTTGAGACTATACTCGAACTCTTATATTAAAAGAGCATGAACTAGAGCTCAACCTGGATCGGCTCAAAAATTCGTTTAGCCTCTTGATTATCTTTAAATATATTGAAAAATTAATTTAAATTAAAATTACATAATATATTTAATATTTTTACATCAACTGTCTTTAAAATAAAAATTCTAAAGAAATGAAAATTTAATTTAAAATTAAGAAATTGAGCTTAACAATCAAGTTAAACTCAAACTTTAAAACGAGCCCGAGCCTATAAATGTTTTAACGAGGCGAGCTCAAGCTTGGTAAACATGCTCAAATCCACCTCAAGCTCAATAAAAATTAAACAAGCTTAGCTCGATTAGGTACATATAGAGTTGTTTATACCCCTAAATTAGATGATTCAGTAAATATTAAAATTATTAAATGATATAAAAATGACAAGATAATTATTTAAAATATTAATTAATATAAATTTATGATTA